TCATTCCAACTGGTCTCTCTCTGAGACTCTTAGTTCCCTCCAGCTGATCTCTCTGACACATTTAGTTCCCTCTAGGTGGTCCTTTTCTGAGACTTAGTTCCTTCCAGCTGGTCCGACTCTAACTCTTAGTTCCCTCAAGCTGGTCCTTCTCTTAGTTCCCTCCAGCTTGTCCCTCTCTAAGCCCCTTAGTTTTCCAGATGGTTCCTCTCTGAGTCTCTTAGTTCCATTCAGCTGGTTTCTCTGAGGCTTAGTTCCTTCCAGGAGACCCTAGGTTCCCTCCAGCTGATCTCTCTCCAAGACTTAACTCCCTCCAGCTGGTCTCTCTGAAACTCTTTGTTCCTTCCATCTGGTCCCTCTCATTTGACTTTTAGTTCCCTTGGGCTGGTATCTTTGCGAGACTTAGTTCCCTCCAGCTGGTCGTTTTCTGACTCTTAGTTCCCTCGGGCTGGTCTCTATGAGACTATTAATTCCCTTCAGCTGGTCCTTCTCCGAGACTTAGTTCCCTCCAGCTTGTTCCTCTCTAAGATGCTTAGTTCCCTCCAGTTGGTCTCTCTCTGAAACTCTTAGTTCCCTCCAGCTGGTCCTTCTCCGACTCTTAGTTCCCTCCAGCTGGTCCTTCTCTTACTCTTAGTTCCCTCCAGCTGGTTATGTCTGAGACTTAGTTCAAGCCAGCTGGTCCGTCTCCGAGACTCATAGTTCCCTTCAGCTGGTTTCTCTTTTGAAACTCTTAGTTCCCTCCTGCTGGTCCCTCTGTGAGACTCTTAGTTCTCTCCGGCGTCATGGTGTAATTTTCCATTTTTTGTGGACGTGAGACTAACACTCAGACGAGCGGTTTGATTGTAATTAAACAGACAACATATGGTTACTGCAGATTTTTCGGAGTTGTATTTATGATTAATAAATAATTTCTTTACATATAAAGCACGTACACACATCAATTTAGTGTCACACGATCAGTTTTTCACTGTTTTACCCTGCAATTTCCTGCATCCTTCTTGCCCTGCAGACTACAAGTGAGTTATGATAATAGATAGAGAAAAATTAAAAAATATATAACAATACTTACATTTAAAATAGAAAGCTGTTGCCTCTTTTAAAATACCTACTATAATGATAAGAACATGTGGAAAATATGAACAATAACAAACAACTCCTGTGTGAGCTATCTCCTTCATTAGTTCCATTTTCACTAATAACATTTGAAGTATGTCTGGCAGATGTGTGTGTTTTGGTATAGCTTGTATAGTAGAGAAAACGGGAGTTACATGTCCTTATTTCTGCCTTGCAGAAGCTTACCAGACCTCTGCAGCCACCATATGTTACGAAGAAAAGTCAGTCATTTTAAATAGAGGTGTGGACTTCGCAACTCTGAACTACTTAAGTGCTTATGAAGTTCATAACCCATTAGTGGTGAATCTGGGCCCTGTACTGTATATACTGTATTCACCAACAGATGCTGTCATCTTGAGCCTACAGTAGGCACTGTTCACTCTGCTGAATGTACAGTACAATACAGTCATGAGCCGGTTAACGTCCTAGATACGTTCTTGGAAACGTGACGTTAACCGAATTGGACGTTGTCTGATCATCACATACTGTAGTAAACTTTGTATTTATACTTACGTATATGTGGAATATTGCAGTGTACGGTACATTTACTTGTACTGTACTGTACAATATTGACTAAATTCACTAGATAACGTACACAACTAATGAAACACAGAGGTTAGGAAGGCTAATAAAATAACATAAGGTTTACAATTGCTAATATATTGTAGTAAAAAAATACAGGTATAATATATACAGTAAAACAGGTACAGTGCAGTATAGTAAAGTAAAATTAAGCACTACACTGTTCACTGATTGAGAAGTAAATGCAGTATCGTATCCTTAAATCGTATGGACTTTTCTTACGTTTTACTTTGAAAATAAAATTTTACATTTCACTTATTTAACTTAAGTACAGTATACAATTTACATATACATTACACAATTTTTAAGCCATTCCTGGATCATCAACATCACTGTCACTGCTATCAATTTGATACACAGTTTCCTCAGTTGCAGCTTCAATGACGATATCATCTGTAGCGTGTGAAGGGCCTGGCTGAGGTTCGTCGTGGGGATGACTTGTTTTCTTGATGAAAATGTCGAGCGTTGTTTGTTTTGTCAGCTGTTTCTTCTCCTCGTAGATTTGACGATATGCGGCAAACACTGCATGTGCATTCCTCTCTATGAGTGAGAAGCGTTCAGTGTTGGGGTCCATCTCTTCGGCACTTTTCAGCAGTGTTAAGGTATCTATTCCACCTCACTTTCCTTTTCCCTTGCCTCTTCTTCAGCTATTCGATGTTCCTGTAACTCTAACAACTCTTCGTTGGTTAGTTCTTCGGGAACAACGTCTAGCAGTTCTTTTATATTGTCGTCGTCCACGCCGAAGTTCAGCTCGTTTGCCATGTTCACAAGATTTTTCGTAATTTTCTCAAGCTCTGTGACCGTCTCAAAATCCCTGAAATCATGTACATATCTCTTTCAGACTTTTTTCCACACTCCGTTCATACATTGCCTTGTGACATCATCCCAGGCCCAAGCAATGTTCTTGATGCAATGGTACATGTTGTATTCTTTCCAAAACTCCTTCAGTGTCTTCGTGCCATCCTCAGTTGCAGAAATAGCCATTGCAAAGGTCCTCCTGAGATAGTAGGACTTGAAAGTTGCTATAGCCCCTTGATCCATCGGCTGAATCAAAGAGGTGGTATTCAGCGGCAGGAAAACCACTTTGATGTTGGGGTGGAGGTCACCAATGAAGGGGGGTGACCTGGAGCATTGTCCAAAATCAACAAAATTTTTAACTCTATCCCTTCTTCCATGCAGTATCTTTCGAGGTCACTAGCATAGCAGTTGAGAAGGGCATCCTGGAACAATGCTGGCGTCATCCATGACTTTTTGGTTGGCTCTATAATACACTGGTAACGTATGTTTGTTGACTTTTTTAAAAGCCCTGGGGTTCTCGCTATGCCACACCACAAAAGGTTTCAACTTGAATCTGGCAACACTCCCCCCCCAACATCACAGTCACTCGGTCCTTGAATGCCTTAAAGCCTGGCATTGACTTGGCCTCCTTGTGTATGAATGACCTTTCAGGCATCCTCTTCCAAAACAAGGAGGTTTTGTCCATATATTATTTGTTGGAGCAAATATCCTCCCTCGACGATATGGTTGTCCAAGGTTTCGATGAATTCCGCCGCTCCTGCAGAATCCGCGCTCGCCGACTCGCCGCTGACCTTGATGTTATGAAGCCCATAGCGATGTTTGAAGCACTTAAACCAGCCAGAGCTTGCGGAAAACTCTCTGTCGTAATCGGCTCCTGCTTGTTGCTTCAACATCTCGAACAAACTTTTTGCTTTGGCCATGATGGTTAGCGTGCTGAGTGGGACTCACTTTTGAGTCTGGTCTTCAATCCAGGTCATCAGCATCTTTTCCATATTCGATATCGCCCCCTCTCGAAACTTGGTCAATCTTGTTGCCTTCTGTGAAGCCGATCCTTTTACCGCTTCAAGAATCTTCTCTCTGCATGCGTGACCGCGCCCGCTCTAAGGCCACTTACGTCCGCTATGTCCCGTTATCTGAATGGGCTTTTTTTTTCAAATAATATTTTCACGGGCCACGGATGTATATGCGATCGGACGTTAACCGGCGCATGACTGTATATGAAATCACTTTTTATATCTTAAAACACTTGCAATGGAGGTGGGGTGTGGAATTAGTGATCTCATGTTACTGATCTTCTGATGCATCGCCAGGTCACCCATTATCAGGGTAGATGATTAGTGGGTTGCATGACCTGAAGATGTCTTGAATAAAGATGAGAGTTAAGGTGCTCCAGTGTTTCCCACTTATTGAACAGCACAGCACAAAAGTAAATTGTACACAAAAACAGCAGCAGCAGCAAGTGAGGGATCAACCTTCTATAATGGCAGCAGAATATGAACTAGGCAATCTAAGCAGCTAGGCCACCCACGCTCCTGGCACATGAGGATACGTTGGAGAATGATGCAATCTCTGGGAACTCCCGGAAATTTTCACCTAGGCCCGAAATGGATAGGTTTGGAAAGATTTTCTTGGATTTTTTTTCAGAAAATGCATCTGATTTTCATCCTCGGAAACTTGTTTGCAAACTCGGAATGGAGAGAGTTTTCCCAGACTTTATCCGGCCCGATTTAAATTCCGGATATTGGAGAGTTCCAGGATCAGGGATTCAGCCTAGCGGGGAGATTATGTAACTTTATCATTTTTTATGTCTTAACACAGCTTTAACACAGTAATCTTGGTTGGTTGTGTCCTGGTACAGTATAGTCGTGATGTTTCATGAGATAGGGACCGAGAATATTCGCAAGGCATTGTGACATTGATTTATATGTAAATAAGAGGTTTGGGATCAGAGGCCCAAAAATATATACATCATAAAAAAAAAAAAAAAAAAAGATTCTAAAAACAAAAATA